CATGTGAAAGTTCTCCCAGAATCACTACATATCCCCCTCCCTGGCCTTTTTTGTTTAGTAGCTTTTGACAAAGCCCACCAGTCACAAGGCTGTTCAGTTTGCAGCCCAGCTGTGGTCATTTTGGGACATCTGAGAGCAAACTAATGCTGCTTTCCGAAGGAATTCTCACACTCTAAGGGTAAACATAAAGTTTTTATGTTTTTTCTTAACATTACATAGTGGCTGCAGTCCCCTATGCTGGGTGCCCAAAGGGGTGAACAAAAGAGGAACTGCCCACAGACTTTTCTTGCTTGGTGTGAAGGGAAAGACCAAGAGCTTCTAGTCTTTCAGATAGTGCCGACTCTCTTAAAAACATCCAAGCTGACTCAGACCAGCCCTCCTACCCCTGGTCTTACAAGGGATCAAGGGACAGATACGTGTGATTTAGCCGAGGAGAGCAAGCAAGGGAAAGGGGTTTCTTGTGCAGTAGACACCAGAGAGTTGGAAGAAGAACTGAAAGGGTTAAAGTTAACCACCCCTTATAAGGAAGATTTGGTGGGAAGGAAGAAGGAGGATCCAGGGGAGGATGAAGGGGGGCTAGGGGAGATAAAAGTGGGAAGGGAGAGTATCCCTGGGAGATGGTGTGGATGGAAAATCCATGGACGGGAAGCTGTGAGCAGTTGCGTGTACCAAAAGAGGAGGCCGAGAGTCGTCGGAAGAGGGGACTGCCACAAAGGCCCTCTTAGTGGGGTGAAACTGAGGCTCGAGCCTGGTGCAAGAAGCTCCGTGAGGAGAAGGAGGCTCAGGTGAGGGAGAACGAGGCCCGCCAAGCATGACATATAGAGCTGCTGAGGAAGATGGGGTGTCACCTGGTCCCTGGGGTGCCTTGCCTCAAGAAGGGGACCCCTCCTGGGGATGGATGGTGGACGAAGAAACCCTCCCACTGTTAAGTCCACATGACCCCAACCTAGAGGAGGAGGTACCGGGACAGGTCCCCGTTGGACCGTGGAATGTTACTCCTGTTAATCTGTTGAACGACAGTTTATGGATGCCCTTGTGTGAACCTTTGCTACCGCAAGAGACTAAAACTAAGACTAAAGTTAATATCGAAGTTCCTTTTACTGAGTTAAATAAAGACAAAGTGTTGTTGGACAAAGTTGTCTCGACTCCTTCCTGGGATGAACGGGAAGCCCTTGTGACTGAACCCTCACACTTGGATTCTTTTTATGAACATGGCCATGCTTCCTCATGCAAGGAGCTGATCCTCTACTTGAAGGTGTCTTCTCTTTGAAGAACCATCTAGATCTAATGATAAAGTGTTTTGTTTAGAGATGTAAAATCACTACTAATGGTACTTCCAGAGTCACAAGTATGTTATGTTGGCAGTAGAGATGAGAAGGCCTGGAAAAAAAACCCCAAAATGGGGGGAGGAACAGTCTTTTCCCTTGTTTTTCCAACGCCATTTTATATGGCTTCAAAATTTCAATACATTTTACATCTCTAGGAGGACCTTATCTAAAAATCATGAGGATCCATGCCTCAGATCCATGTTTTTGCACCACTGCAAACCCATGAATTCACTGACGTAATCTGTGGACAAATATGGAATCTCTAATTCCATGGTGATTTGGCACAGATCCCACAGGCTGTATCTTAAATATTACAGATCCTTTGCTTCATAAGGTTGTGTTTTGGTGTTGCAAATACATGGCTGTGGGGTGCAGGCATATATGGGACCTACAATTTTATAGTGGTTTGTGGTAAGTACCACTTAGAAACAATGGCTTGGATCACTGTTTTTGTGCTTCTGGAAAACCATGCATTGATGGATCAATGATTACTGAGGACACAAATTGACCCTATGTTTCAACAGTGGTTTGGGGTTTGGAGCAGATCCTTCATAAAAATCATGTGGATTTATGAGAATCTGTGCCTTTTTGCACTACAGCAAAGCGATGTGTTGGATTTATTATTTCTGTGGCGTAGTCTGTTGGCACAGATGGGATCCCTGATTTGATAGTGGTTTCAGGAGGACCCCGTTATAAAAACCATATGCAACTATGAGGATACACACCTCAGATTCATGTTTTTTGAGCCACTGGCCAATGGACCCATGATTTCCCTGTGAACGTTGTAGGCACAGATGGGATCCACGAGTTGATGGAGGTTTAACGAGGATCCCACATGAAAAAAAATCATACGAAATCAGCATCCATTTGGGATTTCATGGATCCGCCTTTTACTTTCATCCAGACTTTGAGCATATAAAGAGTGGCCCTGGCTGCCAGATGGGCGGTAATAATAATAATAAACTGGCACATGCACTATGATACAAATCACTGTCCTCTTATTTAGGGGATATATGCTGACATTGTCAGTGGCGACCCTTTATCCGACTCATTCCCCGAAATTAGCACAGCGAAGGAACCGACCATCCTGGGAGCTTCCTAGAAGAAAAGCCTCTCTCCCTTTTCCAGTCTCTGCTGAAGGAGCAGCGAAAGCAATGGAAACAGATGTTCCGGTTTTCCTTCCTTCCGAAAAGCAGCAGAAACGGTCACTCCGAGTTTAACTAAGTTACATACATTACGCCATCCGCCGCCAGGGAACGTAACCAAGGGGCTCTACATCCCCTCCCTCCCGCTTCCCCCCCCATACACTGCCACGTTCCAACTTATTCCTCCGCTGCTCGATGCAAGGCAAGCACAAGGGTGGAAGGCGTTCCCTCGCGCCCTCTCACCAATAAGATCGTCGAAGGCTTCATGCCTGCTTTGCGATTGGTGGGAGAGACATGCCACTCGAGTGTCGTCGCCTGAATGGGAGCGTAGCTGCCGGCTTGTCACCGTTGCCCTCGTGCCAGCCCCGCCCCCCTGCTGTCGTGAACGCGCCCAAACGTTTTCCTTCCCTCCCTCCCTCCCTTCGCATTGCTTGGTGGCCTTACCTGACAGGAGGTGACATGGCCCCGCGCAGGAGCCCCAAAAGCGGCAGCCCCGGCCCCGGTTCCCGGAGAGGTCAGTAAGGGCTGCCCACCTACCTGGGCCTGCATCACTCTTACCCTAGTCGGGGCTTATGGGTAATGGTGGGAAAGATGCCTTGCCCACCTTTCTGTCCTTCAGGGCTGGGACCCAAACTGACGGGAGGGCCCCCCTCAATGGTCTCGGGAGTGGGTGGGTCGGCGGGTGAGGTGAGGGAGGTGCCCCCTCCCCCGTCTTTCGAAGTTGGCGCCCTGAAGGTCCAGCTCTTCCTCCCCATCCCGGGGAACGTGCTTGCCCTCTCCCCAAAAGCCGCCACCCTCTTGGAAGCCCCTCGCTTGGATGTGGCTTCCTCTGGCTGTGCTCACCGAATGAGGAGGTGGGGGGGCGGGCGGCAGCACGGAGCTGTGCAAGGAATTAAAATGGAAGGCAGGGCTCCAGCAAAACCTCGCGGCCTCTCTCTCTCTTGCTCCCCCTAATCCCTTCAACTCTGACCTCCTCCCTGGCTGAACCCATAACGCGCGCGCGCGCGCAGTGCCTTGCTGCGCTTCTTTTTTTACAAAAAATGCTTTGTGCACAAGTCACACCTCTGTACTGGGAGAGGGGAGAGAGGCTGTAACTTTGGAAGTCAAACTCATATAAATGTGTATGTGCTTGTAAATCCAGTTTCCACTTACACAATGTAAACTGTGTAATGCTCACACTTGGCCAGGAGTAAATCCTGGGAAATTTGCTTGAGTTTATCTCTGAGGATCTATGCGCTAGAGCAGGCTAGAACACATCATTTTTCATCATTTGAGGATTACTCCTGTGTTGCAAATGAATTGATGCAGATCACGTGTTGAGTAACAGTGTTGTACAGGCATGTGAAAGTTCTCCCAGAATCACTACATATCCCTCTCCCTGGCCTTTTTTGTTTAGTAGCTTTTGACAAAGCCCACCAGTCACAAGGCTGTTCAGTTTGCAGCCCAGCTGTGGTCATTTTGGGACATCTGAGAGCAAACTAATGCTGCTTTCCGAAGGAATTCTCACACTCTAAGGGTAAATGCTTATTTTGTGCAAAGTGGGAATAGTCTAATATATTTTGAGGACAACAGGAAGAGATTACAGTACAGTACCTGTAAGAAACGTTAAGTTTAGGGCTTAAGAAAATAAACCAGGTTCATAATTTTTTCTGTGAAGGTCATGAAAAAAAAGTTTTTATGTTTTTCTTAACATTACATAGTGGCTGCAGTCCCCTATGCTGGGTGCCCAAAGGGGTGAACAAAAGCGGGACTGCCCACAGACTTTTCTTGCTTGGTGTGAAGGGAAAGACCAAGAGCTTCGAGTCTTTCAGATAGTGCCGACTCTCTTAAAAACATCCAAGCTGACTCAGACCAGCCCTCCTTCTACCCCTGGTCTTACAAGGGATCAAGGGACAGATACGTGTGATTTAGCTGAGGAGAGCAAGCAAGGGAAAGGGGTTTCTTGTGCAGTAGACACCAGAGAGTTGGAAGAAGAACTGAAAGGGTTAAAGTTAACCACCCCTTATAAGGAAGATTTGGTGGGAAGGAAGAAGGAGGATCCAGGGGAGGATGAAGGGGGGCTAGGGGAGATAAAAGTGGGAAGGGAGAGTATCCCAGGGGGAGGGTTGGGAGATGGTGTGGATGGAAAATCCATGGACGGGAAGCTGTGAGCAGTTGCGTGTACCAAAAGAGGAGGCCGAGAGTCGTCGGAAGATTAAGAAGTGTGCTAACTTGCAGGAAAACTAGGCTTCTTTTTGCAATGCTGGCCTTGTTGTTGTTGTTGTTTTTGCATTAAAGCATTAAACCATGTTTTAGGATTACTATTTTCATACAGCCACTGTAACTTATTTTAATGAAAACTGGATCTTTTCGATATTGCTATTATATAAGCATTTTAGGTAGATGAATTAAAAGTGTTCCTGTTTATTCTGATATGTGTGTTTTGGGTGCTATGGGTTATCACAGCTTTGCTTTTTGTTAAGGCATCCTGTGCTAAATATGTACAATATTTATTTTGATGTGGAAGGATACCAAGCACAATTTTAATTATTATTTCTTTGTTCATAAGTATTTATAAACTGTACAGATTGGAAAATTACAAAGGTGAGTACTATAATAATAAAATATATCAGTTGATAATTTATGCTTGCGTAAGTGACACTGTGTACATCATAGCAGCAAATTGCCACTTTTTTCCTTTTTTATGTAAGGATGCCACAGTACAATTAATAAATGCAGCAGATAATTTGTGTCTAGTAATGGGCAACATCAAGAGGCTTTGAGGCAGCTAACATCAAATCTTCCATTTTGAGGGGCATAGAATACAATAACATAGATACTAGATAATTGATTCTGTCAACAAGGGTTGTTTCTCAGGTGAAAAGGTTTATGTTGGTTTCTATTATAATATGTGCCATGTTTTTCTAATGCGTGTGTTAAGAGATGTTGTACTGTCTGAAAACTGTCTCACTGAACAGCAATTGCGAGGTTGTCCGCATTGATAAAACTTTCAGTGCTTTGAGAAGGTGGTTGATCATTGGTGTATATGTTAAACAAAATAGGAGCCACTTTACTGCTCTAGGGTAGACCACTAAATTGCCACTGAATAACAGGGTACAGGTTATGTTCCTAGGAATTGTGTGGTAAAGTGGCAGTTGGGTTCTGACCATAATATACACAAATATACAATGCAGTGTATAAGGTACAAAAATACACAAAGCATATATTAATATGCAATCGTTTGTACTATGTAGGGAAAGCCTGCATCAATTACTGTTTTCTACATGGATCTAAAACAAGTTTCAATGCATGTCAAATTTAGGAAGTACATTCACTTAGTAGATGCTGCAGTGCTAAAGTTCATGCTTTGAATGACTTCAAAGAAGATCTGAGGAGCATGTGGCACAACCAGGATGACATTACTTATTAAATTTCCATGTTAAAATGTATTTACAACCTGTCTCCACCACATTGCAGTGAATTCTGCCTAGGTTTAAACATTGTAAACATAGTTTGTATTATGGAATGAAGTCATGAATATTAATGCATACATTTTGCAATTAATTAATAGTTTTCTGTCACAAACCAATTGTTAAAATGGTTACTTGGATAATTCCTTTGTTTTTCAGTAGACTTATGAGGAGCTAATAATATCAGCTTCAGATAGTGTACTTAGCTATGACTGTTTTTTGTTTTTGGAGTTTTTTGTTTATTCTTTTTGTCTGTTTTCCTGCTGGATAGAGAAATAAATCCCAGAGTGCAGTTTTTATATCAGCAAAGGATTCTAGAAATAATAAAACCATGGAAAAGCAACTTTTTTTAAACGTGGATTATATGGTTGGGAACAAATATTGGGAAAATTGAAATAAATTGAATACTTATTTTGATATCAAGCCCTTTTTACCACTTTACCAACTTTAAATATTTCATTCCTTACTTTATATATGAAATTGTACTGGTTGGCTTATTTATCAGATGTAAAAATATAGGCTAAAAGTATTACAGTCAGTGTAAAACTTAGTGACAAATTACCACAAATTAAGAAGTCAGTGTAGGAATTAATTGTTGAGCACTAGAGTCTCAGCATGCAACAGCAAATGCCTGCTTTGATTTCTTAATTTGGGGCAGTTTGTTGCTGAGATTATGCTAATTATGATAGTTTATATCTAAAAACACCTATGCTTTGGAATCAACCGTGAATATCTGTTTATCTTCCTCTCATGAATATGGCAGCATGTACTAGGTGCAAAAATACATCTTGATTTTAGTGATAAACAGTATATCACAGAAGTGAGTACGCCCCCTCACATTTCATAAGTATTTTAGTCTATGTTTTCATTTTATAACACTGTCCGATGGCAATTTTTATATATATTTTTTGTATTTTAATTGTTTTGAATTTTTATTGCATTTTAAATTTTGTAAGCCGCCCAGAGACCTTTGGGTAGTGTGAGCGGCATATAAATTAAATAAATAAATAAATAAGAAATGACACTTGGCTACAATGTAAAGCAGTGAGTATATAGCTTGTACAACAGTGCTGCACCTCACAATAACGCAACACAAAGCCATTAATGTCTAAACTGCTGGTAATATAAGTGAGTACACCCTTAAATTACAATGTTCAAATTGGGCACAAACTGTCAATATTTTGTGTGGCCATCATTATTTTCCAGCACTGCCTTAAACCTCTTGGGCATAGAGTTCACCAGAGCTTCACAGATTGCCACTTGAGTCCTCTTCCACGCCTCCATGACGACATCACAGAGCTGGTGGATGTTAGAGACCTTGTGCACCTCCACCTTCCGTTTCAGGATGCCCCACAAATGCTCAAAACGGTTTAGGTCTGGAGGCAGGCTTGGCCATCACTTTTACTCTCAGCTTCTTTAGCAAGGCAGTGGTCATTTTGGAGGTGTGTTTGGGGTTGTTACCATCGTGGAATACTGCTCTGTGGCGCAGTCTCCAAAGGGAGGAGATCAAGCTCTGCTTCAGTATGTCACAGTACATGTTGGCATTCATGGTTCCCTCAATGAACTGTAGCTCCCCAGTGCCGGCAGCACTCATGCAGCCCCAGACCATGACACTCCCACCACCATGCTTGACTGTAGGCATGACACACTTGTCTTTGTACTCCTCACCTGGTTGCCACCACACACACTTGACACCATCTGAACCAAATAAATTTATCTTGGTCTCACTGGACCACAGGACATGGTTCCAGAAATCCATGTCCTTAGCTTGTCTGAAGCAAACCGTATGAGGGCTTTCTTGTGCATCTTTAAAAAAGGCTTCCTCCTGGGACGACAGTCCTGGAGACCAATTCGATGCAGTGTGTTGCATATGGTCTCCAAAATATTTCTTTTCCTCCACCAGTGGAAACATTAAAATATGTCTTTGGAGGAAAATAGCATTTTCCCTGATCTCTTCATATTTTTCTAAAATTCAATTTCTCCAGCTAATATGTTGAACAAAATATTTGCTACAGATCTTGTGATGTATAGCTTTGTGAAGTTGTAATAATGAGAATTGGTTTTT